TGTAATGTACAATAGGGACAGCTCGGCTTATCTGGACTGAACAGTGAATGTGGACTCGATAACACTGGGACTTCCTAGAATGATGCATTGTTATTCAAATAAAAATGAGAAATATTTCTTCCCATACAACATATATGCTTATAACTATTTTATTCTGTGGTCTGTGTCTTTGTTCAAATAACTCCCAGCAAGTTATATTCCATTCAACCTCAGCTTCAATCGCTAGTCACTCCACTGAGTTAGCACTGTAAGCACGATAGACTCTTCCTGCCTCTTCCATGAGGCTAAACTGTGGAGACATAGACTAGATATGAAACAAGAGCAAAGGCAAAAAAATAGTTGCCTTGGGGGCGTTTTCTAGTACTTTAAATTTTATGGCCTCATGATGCCTATAGACTTCACAGGATTATGTAATTTTTGTCTCATTTGAGAATACAAACCCACTAAATGATTTCATTGACCTTCCAGGAGAGTCACCTCATTCAGAAGCTGATCTATTACAGAGGATAATCTGTTACAGAGGATACACTTTTTTGGGTTTTTAAGAGAGTTGTCTGGATTCATATCACACTTAATTACACGTGGCATTTATTTAACCACAAGAAAGGTGGACTGTGAAGACCACATTAGAATGCAATTACATTAGAGGTAAAGCTACCAAACTCTTGTGTTCTAAATTTGTAACCACTGCATTAAATATAACATCATACTCCATGTGTCCACCTCAAAACACCAATTCTTATTAATATTTTAAAGTATGGTGTCTGCCTAAGTATGCCAATTGAAAAGTGTCAATCATGACTTTGTATAATTCTCTAAATTCTCAGTTATCATTTCCTATTTGCAATAATGAAATATATCCATACATTTGAATTATGTGATCTCTTAAAGTCTCCTATTTTAACATATTAACCTGGGGAAGGAATTACAAATTGAAGTTCTGGAAACACAGAAACACATTTTCAGAAATTTGCTGCATGTGGACTAAAGGGGGCAGTGCTTCCTTTTATGAAGATGAATAATTTCAGCTAAAAACAGGGCCATTCAGACGTGAAGCAGAAGGCTCTGTGGAAGGATACGAATGAAGTGGAGGAAGCTGAAATCAGATTGACAGCTGCCTGGGCAGCAGACAGGACCACCAGTCTTCCCAGGAGAAATGAGCAGGCTCCTGGGGGCTTTGTTGTTGCTTTTCTGTCTTCAGCCACACTGTGAGTTTGGGCTGGGAGGTTTAGGTAGAGTAGAAAAATTTCAGAGGATACTACAAAGCTGAGAGATGAGATAGTTAGGAAGTTTTGCTTTTTTTCCCTTTCTGGCGTGTGATAGATGATTTTCTGTTGGGACTTTGAGGATTAAATGTAAAATCTGATATTCTCTTTCCACACAGGGGTGAATAGTCAACAGCAGAATGGTGAGCAGCAACAAGTGAAGCAGAATTCTCCATCCCTGAGTGTGCAGGAAGGAGGAACTTCTATTCTGAACTGTGACTACAATAATGATTTGTTTGATTACTTTGCATGGTACAAAAAATACCCTGCTAAGGGTCCTGCATTCCTGATATCAATGCGTTCAGTTGCAGATAAGAAGGAAGATGGAAGATTCACAGCCTTCCACAATGTGAGTGCCAAACACCTCTCTCTGCATATTGAGCACTCGCATCCTGGAGACGCAGCCTTGTACCTCTGTGCAGCCAGTGCACAGTGCTCTGCAGGCACCTGCAGCCTGTACTCAAACCTGCAGCTGGGGCCATGCTAACCCCACTTTGGGGTCTCTCTCTCTCTCTCTCTCTCTCTCTCTCACACACACACACACACACACACACACAGACTTGCTTCCATTCATGCATGGCAGTAAGAGAGGGTGCACTTTAAAGTTGGTGAGTAAGCTGAGCAGTAAGGAAAACTGACGCATAGCAAATCCTCCAAATGAGTTGAGAATGTTCCCTGAGCCTCAGGATGTCCAGGAGTCTCACCATTCTCATTTTTCACTTTGAGAGAGAGGTTCCTCTGTAGCCAGGGCAGCAATTGCTGTTGAAACTTTGCTCCCACTAATCCCTGGAATGAAGTTACCCTGTTTTCCCTCTATCCTTGGGGAAGAGACACATTTGGGATGGGGAACCAGGGTTCTAATAAAAATTTTATCAGTGAGTGTTTGTGGTGCTTGGAGTACCAGCAATCATGTGCTTCACTTTTTGTACAATAATCCATGAACATTGTTTCAGACTGAAGCAACCTGGATGGACAGTTACCTACATGGGATCCCTGTCCCTACAGATGAGTGGTATGATTGTCTCAACTAAAAAAACATCTTCACATTTATATTCTTATTACCACTGTCAACTTGTATTATCTTTTGCAGTCCTATTAGTCAGTCAAATTTATTCATTTGTGAAATTAGGTTAGAAGTAGATGAAATCTATTTTCTTGTTGTCCAGTGGGTATGTGATTCCATTAACCTCAAACAGGTACCAACCACTGGTTTTATGCTCTTCATTAATGTGATGACTAGAGGAAATTGGTCAACCTGAATTTCATGGAAATTTTAAAAAAATGTTCCTAGTCCCTTAAAGATAGAATCTCAAGCTGAAAAGATCCAAAATATAAGAAGTAAAGAAAAATGAGAAATAGATTGAGACTCCTTGTGTACATACTGTTTGTGCAGTATGTTTGTGCAATACTGTGTGTGTGTGTGTGTGTGTGTGTGTGTGTGTGTGTGTGTAACATATGTAAAGGAACTTTCTATAATATTTTTCACTAAAAAGCTAACTGTTCCTGAAGCATCTTACCAATAAAATCCTGTGGCCACTTAAAGTGGTCCCTGAGTCGGGAAGCTCTACATGCTTCCCAGGAGACTGTTGCAGTGGTCATTCCACTTTGCTGGGGTCAGAGATCCCAACTCTCTGAAACCACAAGACACCCCATCACAGAGTCAACACTGTCATTGGAGGGACTATCTACGCTACTGTGATGTAATGAGTTCTTACCTTCTGGAGCCACACCAAAGGTTGTTCAATTAAGCACCCATACCTCCCACTGTATCTGTTAGCCTTTGTTATAATAATGATACATTACTCTCAAACTCAAGACTAAAACAATAAATCATGTAACTTATAAATGTGTGGACTGACAATGTAGACTGGGCTCAGCTGAACAGTGTCTCTGGGCTTGGCTGAGTGCCCTGTTAGGTCTGAAACAACTGTCTGTGGGCTGTCTAGAGTGGCCTCGTCTGGGATCAGGAGAAGTCCTGCAGCAGCCTGGGTCAGGCACACTCTCATGGCAATCATGCAGCAACAAGGGCAGGAGTAGAAACAGGAAAGCATCTTCTCAACCTCTGCTTCCCTGATAAGCTGTGAAACAAATTGGCCAAAGTAATGTCAGTTTCCTACATATTATATCACAATACATTACACATATATTGTATGTATGTGTATATATGTATTATATATGCATTACATATGCAATTTATATGCACACATATACATGTAATATATGTATATTCTACAGTAGCAGGGACTTTTGGGAATGAATAATATAATATAATGTATTATAATATAAATACATAATATATAATAGTATATTATATGAATAATATAATGAGAAAATACAATGAATATAATGAATAATGTAATATAATAAATAATAAATTATATACAATAGATATAACACAACAATATAATATAATACCATATGATGTATAATATATAATGTATACTTTATGTTATATTATATAAATTATAATATATAACATACATATCATATTACATTTTTTATCACATTATATAACTTACAGTATTATCTAATTTGCATTTTAGGTGTTTATTACCTCATATATTGTTTAAAATTCAGTATTTAATTATTGTTATGTATTTTTAACCTCTTTCTCTTTCTCCAATCCACCCCCAGCTTCCTGCAAATATTTTTCTATTCTGTTTCTCTATGTTAAATTTTTTTCTAAGATTCTATGCAGAAATGATGCCATGAAGTTCATTTCAATTTCAAAAAAGATGGAAATATGAATGAATAATCAGTCTAGTTATCATACATTCCTGTTCTTAACAAAACTATTTCTAACATTGAAGGTCAGCATATTAAAAGCTTTCCTTATCTTCAGATAGATTTGAAATAATCTGTAAATTTTTCCAACCCAGTTATGAAGTTCTGTTACAATGGACATTCTCCACTCTGATTGCATTATACTTACCCAATCTCACACCTGTGTACAAAGGGAAGCTGTGGTGTAGAAATACAGCCCTGCCTTCTCTACATTTCTAAGGCTACAAAGAAAGTTGTGCCAGAACAGGGACTGCTACCTACAACCTCATTCTTAGTAGTTTTGATCAGGCTCCCTATACTACAACACTCACATTTCACTCATTCCTATAGTTATCAATCTATGTTCTTTCCTTTTCTGGTGTATCTGGGAAGCAACATTGGTGAAGAGCTACTTTCTACAATTGATCTAGCATCTTATATCAGGACCTCATGTGTAATGCACGGACAATGGTTTTCAGCCAACATTGTTCTCAGGTGTCATTCATTCAGTTAATCAACAATTGTTTATTGATTACCTGCTAAGTTCTACATGCATGCTACATGCCAGGAAAAAAAGAGTGATGAGGAAATACATAGTTATTTTTTTGTCATTGAATGTGTAGTCTAGTAAGTTATACAGGTAGCTGACTGGACAAGGTAAAGTGACAGAATGAAAAGGTCTAGGAAAGCAAAGGGTGACATGGAGGCATTCAGAGAGGCCCACCCCACACTAGTCTTAGTAGTGAGTCAGGAACAGCTGGAGTGTACGATGCCTAACTGAGACCTATAAGTTTGGTAGGAGTTAGGAAGAAAGACAGAGGAAGTAGGAGATAGTAAGAGTAGAAACAGTGCACATACAAGGCAATGGAGGTCATAGTGAATTTCAGACTAAAGGCAAGGTTAACATATATATATTTCTCAAACAGACAATGCAAAGGAGCCATCATATAAAATTTATAAATGAACATTATAATGTTTGAAAAGGTAACAACAGTGTACTCTGTTTACTTGAGATTCTTCTAATTATTGTTTCCTTGACATCTAAGATATGTTTTAGGCACAAATACATGAGATGCAATTGGAAGGAAACAGACATTGTGCCTGCCCTCAGAAAGCATGTGATATTGTGGAGTATATAACAAAACAGTGTCACCAAAACTATCATAGGAGAAAAGCAAACTCTGACCACCAAACAGAGACATCTGAATTGGATACAGATTATAAGGGAGGCTATCTAAAAAGGTGATATCTAAGTCAAGACTCATAAAGAAGTTAGTCAAAAATAGGGTCAGGGAAAAGGAATTATAGGAAAAGAGAAACAGAATATGCAAAGGTATAAAGTCAAGATTTAGTTGAGGAGAGAGACATTAAACTAACTCAGAATGGCTGGAGCATACAACTCAAAATGGACAACAGAAACCTTCAGACTAGAACAATATATAGACACCACTTTGTGAAAATAATTATGAGCCATTGCAAGGTGATTGTACATCATCTTGAAGGCACTGATAAGCACTGAAAGTGATCTGAAGAATCAAATAGTATAATAAAATGTTACTATTTAAAATATTATTGCTTTGCTAGATACTTATGTACTTATAGATACAATTTTATATATCATTTTCCCTTGATTTTTGTTTTGATCCTGAAGTAATTCTCTCACTATCACAGTATATTGAGAGGTTTTTTCCTTATACCAAAACACTAAATAAAACAAAAACAAAGGACATATTAGTTGTAAACTTATTCAAGAAACTTATTTGGGTTGAAACGTACTCAACCCAGATCCACATTTTAATAATTTCTTAGCCTGGCCAGAGGGGGGCACTGTGTTAAAAGTATCCTGGATGTACACAATTCTCTGTAAAGGATGAAATGCTGCAAAGTCTCTCTGATTGGTTGTCCTCCAGAGTTTCAGTATTCTAGAAACAGCTGCAACAGAGCTGCACTGCTCTGAGCACAAGGGAACTCCTGCTGAGAAGCCCATTCAGAATCTGACCTGGTCCACTGGGTTTGCTGGGGAGCCAAGGGATGGAGACTCTCCTGAAAGTGCTTTCAGGTGCTCTACTGTGGCAATTGGCTTGTGAGTACACAGTTCAGTCTAAAAGAGGCTTGTCATGGTGGCCGCCCTGAGAGCAGATATTGGGCTGTCTTTCTGACCCGGGAGGGCCCTTATGGGAACCCCTCATGTTCTGTCATATGTGGTGATGTTTATGTTTTGAGACTAAGCATCTCCTGAGGGTTTCCTGTGTCCTTCAATTGTTTTCAGATCAGGTGTGAGAAGCCAAGAAGTGCAGCAGAGTCCTCAGTCCTTGATCATCCAAGAAGGGGAAAATGTTACTGTCTGGTGCAATTCCTCAAAGACTTTATATTCCTTACACTGGTACTGGCAGAAGCCTGGTGAAGGGCCCATCTTCTTGATGTTGTTAAGAAGAGAAGGAAAAGAGATTCATGACAAAATAGCAGCCACGTTGGATAAAGAAAAGCAGCACAGCTCCCTCTGCGTCATGGGCTCCCAGCTCAGTCACTCAGGCACGTACTTCTGTGGAGCAGAAGCACAGTGACACCCAGGCCTCCAAAGGCTGTGCTGTAACCTGACACAGGGCCACAGATGCTCTCCTAGCACAGGCCTCCCGTGGGGAACCTACCCGCAGGCTCATCATTAAAAAAGAGAGAGATTTGAGGGAATTTCAATTGCTCTCACATTGAGTGCAAAAAGATGGCCATATTTTAAGATCAAATCTAATTCAACACTATTTTCTTGATAATTATATAAGTGCTAGGTAGGTAATGATGTAATTGCATGGCAGGTAGTTTAGATTAAGAAGCGAATCAAATAAATTTCAGTTTCAAACATCACAGTGAGTTACAATATGACCTAAGCTGCATGTGTGAACTCCTTTTGTGGATGTATTCCTGTCTGAAAATCAAAATAAGTTCTCTCTCTTCTGCTAGATGTCCACAGTTTGTTTTTGGGAGCTAATGAGAAAACCACAACATACGCGAGTCTTTTGATTTGTTCATTGTTGGCTGTGAGGAATTAATATGGTACATGGCTAATGTCACTTATCTGGAAGGGGCACTAGCAATATTTTTCCAGTTTCTAATATCTGTTTGGAGAAATGTAGTTGAAAAGCACTTGCAATTTTAAGCTGACTTCCATTTCCCTTCTCTCTGTACTTTATTCTGACTGATTTTCAGGTGTTGTGGAGTACTCTGAGTTACCTACATGATACCTTGTCTTACCAGTTTCCCAGATGTGCTGTGGGGGAGATCATTCCTCAGTCATGCCCCCACATGAAACCCGGCACAACACTGGCAGGCAGCAAGGGCTCAACAAATGTTCATTAATTTACTTTTAAGAATGTAGAAAGACAAACAGGAAAATATGTTTTGTATTTGTTAGAGAAGTTAAAATCCACAAACTGAACCATAGTCATTGGTCTTTATTACATACCCCAAAATTATTAGGAAAATATGATTCACAGTCAAGAAAAAAGCAAATAGAAACTGACTCTGGGATGGCTTAACTTATATAATTTAGAGGACAACTATTTGAAAGCACCTGTAATAAATAAATATGTGCCAAAAAACTAAATAAAGTGCAGTCAACAATTGAAGGAAAATATTTTTAATATTAAGCAAACAGAAATAAAAGCTCAACAGATAAATGAAAACCACAAAGAAAAGTGGAAATCTTAGAGCTGAGGAGTGTAATGACTGAGACACTCACTGATGTGCTCAACAGCAGACTGGGGAAGGCAGAAGAGTCCGTAATGGATCTAGAAACCGGTGTACTTATAATATTGAACACTGCTCAGCAACAAAAATTAACTACCTGCTTATCTGTCAATATAGGTAAATTTCCAAACACTATCCTGAATGAAAGAAGCTGGACACAAAAGAGGACCCAGTAAATAATTTACATAGACGAAATTTTAGAAAGAGCAAATCTAATCTATGGCAACACAAATCACGTCATGGTTGCCAGCGGGTGGGATGGAAGGAAGGCACTGACCATGGTGGATCACAAGGAAACTTACAGGATGGTATAAATGATATATCAGCTCATGTCATGATTACACAGGTGTATGAATTTGTCAAATATTTTAAATGTTGCACTTGAGATATTACGTATCATTTCATGTAACTTATATCCAATAAACTCTATTTTAAAAATAAGGTGGATAAAAATGTTTAGATTCTAGACCTCATGATAACCTGTAACACTTCTTTTAATATTAAGTAATATTAACTTAAATATTAATATTCTTCTGTTTTATTTTGGAACAAAAAAATATCAAAGAAAGAGAAGCCGAATGTTAAAGGGGATAAAAAGAAGTAGTGATTCAAGTTCACTCTCCTAAATTACCATTATATCCCTGGCCCTCCATTTGATTTGCTACCTGTGTGATCTTGAGGAGATTTCTGAGCCTTGCCTTTATCTCCCTCTGTAAAGTAGGAGGGAGGACATAATAACTTCTCATAAAGTTAACCTTTTTCCCAAGATGATTAAGATTTGCCCATGAAGGTATTAGAACATATTGTGTTCAGTGAATAGTAGGCAATATTTTTATTATAAACCATAAATTGTTATTTCATGAGGGCCTAAGTTCTCTAAATAGATTTGTGGTGTGGTAGCTCCAGGGTGTTTTTGTTTTGATGGGCAGCATGATGGGGGTGAGAGCAGAGAAAAAGCATAACTTTCTCTTACACTAACAGACTGGCTGGTGACCAGGACTCATGGGAAATAATATCTCATCATAAAGCAGTCTTTTATTATAACTGAGTCTAGGGCAAATAACACTGAACAGAATGTAAAAGTTATTTTGTCTTTGTGAAATGTTACCTATCATAACAAGAAGCCTAAATAATCAGAAAAGAGACTAGACTTTTAAGGAAACTGTTAGAAAACATATTCGGAGGGAAGAGAGTCAGACAAAACCCAGGGTTTCCAGTATTACCACAAAACATTGTGTGTGAGAATTTACATCTATTCCCACACAAGGATGCAAAGGCTTACCTCCATTTTAATTTAAATGGTCTTTTCTTCTTTTGGGAAGAAAAACATAACAGTTACTTTCTTAATGAAAATCTGAATCTGGGAATAAACTGACAGGAATAACATTTCTGGAGAATAATTGAACAATCTTGATTACAGGGAAGGCTAACTTAAACAAATCCAGTGGCTCAACATACTCTAGGCAATTCTGAGCAGGACATGACCTGATGACTGGCCCCACCCACCCCACCGCACCAACCTCCTGCTCTGAGACAGCTGCCCTGCCCATCTCCAACAACTCTAAGTGCAGCTTTATACAACTGAGTGAGACGGGTCCCAAACCCAGAGCAGGAACTTTGTTCTTAGAGACAGAGGTGCCAAAGTCACTCTTCTCAGCATATTATGGGCACTGATGGCCTCTGTCTTCCCTGATAGAAACAGTTGTTGGTAATGAGACTGAGGACACCCCAGGATTCAGGGGAGATGGTGGGGAGGGGCTGAGGAGATGAACAAGGCCAACTGTGATCTACTCTCCAGGAAAGTGAGAAAAAGGGGGAAAAGAACCAGATTTTGAGTCTTCATTGACTTAAAATTGAGCTCTTGCCTAAAAGTTCTTGGCAACTTCCTGAAGGTCACCTCTGGGGTCAATCTTGTTAATTCTTATGTCCACAGGATCTAGCACATCCTAGAAAGTCTACTTTTTAGAGCTGCAACATTATTTTTAAAAGATTTTTTAAAAATATTTTATTTATTTATTTATTTTTAGGGAGAGAGAGAGGAAGGGAAGGAGAAAGAGAAGAAGAGAAACATCAATGTGTGGTTGCTTTTCATGTACCCCTACTGGGGACCTCGTCTGCAACCCAGGCATGTGTCCTGACTGGGAATTGAACCAGTGACCCTTTGGTTCACAGGCTAGCAATCAATCCACTAAGCCACACCAGCCAGGGCCCAAAAGGTCTTTCAATACCATCCAACAAGATCTAGGCAGGCAGGTGAGATTGTGGAACCAGACTGTTTAAACACAAGGGTTGGATGTTATGTATGGCATTGGTACAAAGTATCATGTATGGTATTGGTAAGGGGCTTCCCAATGATGAGATGATTTTACTCATTTCTTAGCACAAAAGTACAGAAACCAGTGCAACACAGGGTCAATATTCTGTGAACTTCCAGAAAGCAACTAAGTCTATCAAGGCCATTATATCACCATCACAGCTAGAGGATTTTGCAACATCTTTCCATTGTATCAGAGAGCCCACTAAAAAAAAAATAAGTGAACATGACAAACACACAAACAGAAGTCAATCTAAAGTAATTGTCTATTCCCATATTCTAACAGAAGAATTACAAACCTTACCCAGACAGTCATTAGCAGCTAGTGGTTGAAGTGAGTAAGATAAGATCTGAACAGGGAGCTGTTGAGTCTGTTCTGGGAAGCACTCACTCACAGCTGCCTCATACACCACATAGGACATCGTGTGAAAGCCACACTCTTCAGATAACATCACAGTTCTTCCCAGGGAGGACGCCATAAAAGAGCAACATATGAAGGACAGTATTTGAACAATATACTTGATAATTCCAGATTTTTTACCTGCTCAACTCAATCTTTTGAGATAGTTGTTTTGGGATACTGGACCCAATTTCAACATGTGTTTCCCCACATACACCACGAAATATTTCTGACAACACCTGGGTGTCCTATAAGTCATCTCAACCTGACATTATCTAACTGGAGATTGAAGCAGATCCCACAAGTTTACTGCTGAGTCCTGCAAGAGTGTCCCCCACTTCAGATGCCAGTTCCAGGCCTAGATTGTTACCTGTGCTTCTGACCCACCAGATACAAATGAAAGGTTGCAACAATGCTCTTCAACTCAGGATGCCAATCAGTTGTCCAAGTGGTTACCTAAACTTCTGACCCACTAGTTGTAAATCATTGGTTCCCACAACACCCTCCTTGGGTTTGATGAATTGTTTTTAAAAGGGATGCAGAGTGACCAATAGAAATCAAAATACAACAGCAAAACACAAAACAGTACCCTCCCTCCTAGTGACTAGGAGTAAAGTATTTCAATTATGAAGTGGGATTTACAATAATATTGTGTTTTGCAATATGCTTATGGTTCACAGAGAAAGCTGGCAAAGATATTGCATTCCTGATAGGAGTACCTCAACTTTTTAGACAATGAAAGGTGAACACAGCTCCAATCCTACTAGGATAGCTAAAATGTGAGAGAGCATTGTTTCCTACCACCTTAACATGTAAACTAAAAAAGCAGAAAACTCATAACTTTGCTTTAACCTAAGAGAGACCTGAGGTCACAGGACAAACAAGGAGGCTGTATTCCCATGGGAAACAGGTTCCTCCAAGGAGAGACAGGCACACGGACTGGCACAACTTTAGCAGAGTGTGGGTGAAAGAGGTGCTGGCTGTCAGACAAGTAGAAAGGAAATCAGCTACAGGAAGGAAGGAAGGAAGGAAGGAAGGAAGGAAGGAAGGAAGGAAGGAAGGAAGGAAGGAAGGAAGGGAGGAAGGAAGGGAGGGAAGGAAGTGGGGAA